TTTTTTTATTAATAATGCTTCCATTATTTTTAGCCCATTAACATATGGATGAAACTATTTAATATTTGTATTAGCAATTAGTATATTGCAGATTGGAGTTTTGTAGTGTGCTGACTATGTTTGGAAAATAAAACATTCATTTAACTCTAGATACAGGCATAAAGCAATCCATACATTCAGTTAAAAGTAAAAATAAAATCATCCTTCATAATGGCCAAAATGTATAGCCAAAAGTGCTCAGACATACAGAAAATTTGGACAATTTCTGCATAATCTATGTCCAGAAAAGAAAATTATATGAAAACAAAAAAAATTGAATAAACCATCACTGCAGTTCCATGTCATTAGTTTTTAATGAAACTTGTATGAAAGAGTTAGTGTTGCCCAAATACACAAAAAATATGTGTTTGAGTGTGGTGCGATGGATAAATTGTCGTCTAAATGAAAAATAAAACAAAATGAAAATAAAACTGGCATTTCATTTTAACAAATATATTTACCAAAATTACATAAAAATATCTTAAAATATTAAAGATTATATTTATTCACTAAAATCGCCATTGGCTTTAACCACACCCTCCAGATGACTTTGGAATCTCCTCAACTCTTCCAGACAGTCTCCTTGATTAAGTTGGTGAATGCTGCCATAATCCTTACCCGCAATTCATTTTTGGTATTACAAGGAGTCTTGTTGGTCAGTCATTCAACTGCGCCCCACACATAATAATCAAGTTGGTTGCAGTCTGGAGAGTTAGGTGACTAGATGTAAGGAGTGATGTGGTCGCAGAAATTGTCTGACAGACATGACTGTGTTCTGCTTTTGTGGCATGGTGCAGATTCCTGTTGCCAAACATAGGGTCTTCCAGCAGCCACCCTCTTGACCCAAGGCAACACTACTTCCTCAAGACACTTCATGTAGGTCTTCAGGTTGAGTTTGAGGCCCTGTGCAAAGAGGAATTGAGGCATTAATATTGTCATCACTAATGACCACTCCAAACACCATGATTTTGACTGGATATATCATCCAACTCTTTCTGATTCCTCTGCAATGTCCTCCTCAGATTGACAGCCAAACACTCTGAAATGTTCGTATTGGAGCATGTGGCATGAGTGCAAAAAGCATTACAGCATTCTGTTTCCAAATTTCTGGTAGTGTGAATTGTGTCATGGTGCTCTTTTTCTCACAACTGACCCTACAATACTGTGCAGTTGACAAAATCAAAAACAATGTGCATGTTTGAAATAAAAAATATAAAATGGCAACAATTTACACATTGCACTCTGTGTGTGTGTGTGTATATATATATATATATATATATATATATATATATATATATATATATATATGGTGTTTTCATTTAGATAAATCAAAGTGAGCAGTAAATAAATCAATGTTATTGGTGAAAATTTATTTATTTCTCTATTGGATCATGTTATTTAAGTCATGGCAATTATGTGTGGAAAAATAATATTGCCCAAATGTCTGCCAAGGCTTCAGCAGTACACCTCCATTTGATGGTCAAAATTTTTGATAACGTCTCTGCATAGTTGCTCCTTGATCTCACCAATATGTCTTATGTATGTGTATGTAAAGGGTGTTTTATTAAAATGGATTATATATAAAGGCATTTCATTAAGATGGATCAAAGTGAGCATTAAACAAATCAGTGTTATTGGTGAAAATTTATTTTTCTCTTTTGGATCATATTATTTAAGTCATGGCAATTATGTGTGAAAAATAATATCACCCAAATGACTGCCAAATCTAAAAGAAAAAAATCATTAGACGCTTAAATTTAATTCACATTTAAAATCTATCCAAGTTACTGAAACACTCTTTATTAGTCCACTTAGTATACATGCATTCATAGCTATTAGTCATATATATTTCTCGCATGAATATATTTCTATCCACAATGACATATTTGTCTGCCTGACAAGGATGCCTAATGACTTCTCAAACTGGGAAAACTGCTTTTATAAATAAAGATTCACATGATAGAGATTCTGAAAATATTTGATGCTTTAACCAGATATTATCACTTCATTCTTGCCCCTTCCACCAACTCCAAACACATTTTCAATTTGCTGGGAAAGAACATTAAAAAGAAGGAGAAAAGAGTATCCATCTTCTTCCTCCCCCTTTCCTGCCAGTCATGCTCCACAAACTCTCTAAAAATTGTTAGATTTTTCTTCTTGCTCATCAAAATGGGATTTCAGAATAGTACTCTTCATTTAAAAAAAAAAAAAAAAAAAAAAAAAAAAACTTCAAACTTTGTCCCATAATAGTTACATTTGCCTGCACATTTCGTAAACTAAATGTAGCAACTATTTTGGGACAGAGGTAGTCATAAAAAATAGAAAATTTCGATGAAAGTGGATGCTGTAGAGGAAACTGTTTTGGGTGAGTTAACACAGAAGTGAATTGGAAACGGAAATGCACGCACTTTTTCCATTAACTTATGATAAAAATTTGGGGCATGAAAACCTAATGTAAGAAGTGAAGATTTTTTTTTTTTTAATGTCCCTAGTTTAGCTAATAAAACAAAGAACTCTGAAAAAATAGCCAAGAACTTATATTTTCTAACAGTTAACATAAAATATTTCTCTTCCTAGCAAAATATTTTCACTTTGACCTGTATTTTATCTGTTTCTTCAAATAATTTTTTTTTCTGGCACAAGACCATTAAGAATTAGGAAGATTGTTTTTCCAGTTGGCAAGGACCAACCTGTCTACTTTTGGGAATGGTATCCATAATACAAGCCTTTATTTCGACCTGAACAAAATTTTTGATACCAGTGGGACAAAAGCACAACTATCTCAACCATGAATCAGGTTCCAATATATTTTCTAACCTTAGTTTAGTTTGACAAACAATCAAATTGGGGGGTAACTACTGAAGGAAGATTGTGTTGCATCAGTCTTCTAAATATTAACAGCATTTAAAATCTTGGTTTGTACTTCAGTTTGACTGAAACTACTGGCACTACTGAGAAACACAGAAGTAACTTAGCAATGAGGCCAGATTCAAACCAAAAGATTTCTTTGCAGGAAGAAAACTGAATAGAATAGCCAGAGGAAAATTTTCGCATCAACCTTTCAAGTATGGATAGCCTACTTGCATTGCAAATTAACAGTGAAGATTCTGGTGTTACTTAGTTTAAATAAAACCCATACATATCTTCTTTATGTACTGTGTCTGCTCAGGATGTAGGTGATTATAGCTCTCCACAACTTCCTGTTTTTTGTAGCTCTTAAACATTGTCTTTCTGTTATTTTTCCTAAACCCTGTTCTGTCATCCATTTATTCAAGCTCACACTATGCACTGTTTTCCCCTGTCCTTCTTGCTCTCTGTCAGTCCCTTGAGTATCATATTTTCCAAGCCCTCCTTCCTCATTATACACTCCCAGTAACCTCACTCTCTTCCTGCTGTTAAGTATTAGTTTCCGTTTAGTTTCCATTTTCTCCAAAACTGTTTGGTCCATAGTATCCTCGGCATCCTTCTGTAGAAGCATATTTTTGTAGCTTCAAGTCTCCTCTTCATATTTAAGATCATCCAGCTCAATGCTATTGTTGCATTTCAGCTCAGAGCAGACACCAGGTTTGTTGGAAGGGTGCAGTTTCATGCAGTCAAATGCTTGTGGCTATAGCGAAGAAAACGGCGACTTGTCAAACCAAGCGACAGCGCATCACGTGTATTCTACGACAGAAAATGTGGTGAAAAAGAAAATTACTTACCAAACAAAAGGGCACGTATTCCGCATGACATGCTGATGATGGAATATTTGAATTAAAAAACAAGTCCATCACAGGAGTCGCTATAAAAGTATTTTGATATGCAAATTACTGAACATCCTCTCCCAGCTGTTGATGAATGGAAAAAATGCTCGGCCGATAAAAGCAGTTGGTATTCTCGAATCAGGGAAGCAAAATTCGGGTATTTTGGCTACCGTGTTTGTTGGAGAAGGAGTTATTTTTCTGACTGGTTGAGTGCATTGTGATTTGTGAGATAGTATCTGCGAATCGAGGTTTCAGCATTTCTTTCTGCCCCCCGATGTTCGAGTCTGAACTTAATGATTTATTCTCTGTGATGTGGAAATAATCTGTGACAAACATTTCCTTTGCAAGCTCTGATTGCTTACAGTGGCTTAAAAATTACCCTTGACAATCAATGCAATACTAAAAAAAAAATATAAAAATAAATGTTTATAGTAAAATTATTGACAATACATTTTATGATCTACAAAACGTATATCTAAAAAACATAACCTTTGCTCTGAAAGTATATAATTATGTATAAAATATCTGTAGTTGAAAGCATAAGATTGCATACAAAAAATATTTAGATTTTGGCATTAAATAACCCATAGAATTTGAAAAACCAAACAAAATCAACCAACATCAAAGTACTCTTTCATGTATAAATATCCTACTGTTTCTTAAAGAATCAAACTGTATTCCAAGATATACACTCAACAAAGCTATGATATAAAACACACATCACCACCTCTTGTAATTATTTCCACACAAACATGTACCTGCACAAAAGCTGAGTATCATCTACCATGTATTCAATTGTAAAAGCAGAATAACATTATATTTTTATTACTTCAAAGCTCCCAAGAAAATTAAATTTCAACATTAAATGTCCCGTAAGGTGTTGATATGCTGTTAAATCAAAAACAATAATTTCTTCTCATTGAATATTCTTATTTTTGTGGTTTTTATCTGGTGTGTTTTTTGTCTTTTTTGTTTGTATTTTCTTAACTAAATAGGAGATAACAGATTTTAGTGTCAAATATTTGTGTGTTGATTAAAAAAAATTCTTGTATCATAATTTGTTTCCTAATAGAAAATATTGGTGAGAATCAGAGGGGAAAAAAAAAACAAGCTAACTGCATGATATTTCAAGGATTAACCGATTCCACTGTTGAAGAATTCTCCAAAAGTATCAGCTTAAACATCGTACGAAAAAAAAAATGATCTTACAGCCACATTGCATTGCAACTCCAGTTCCCATATGATCACCAAAATTAAGCATTATTGAGCCTGGTCAGTACTTAGTTGGGTAACTACTTGGATATGCCAGGTGCTGTAATTTTGGCTGTGCAGTTAAGTGTGATGGATAATGGCTTGGAATTTTTAATTGGAGAGCTGAGTTTCAATTCCATTTTGGTTCGTTATATTCACTTATACACTAATACCCTAGGGAAAGGTATGAATCCACTTCTCCTCCAGCTATGTAAAAATATTTTCTGGCTTTAAATAACCTGTAAAGGGTTGATAACTTGTAAAAAATGCATCAATTAAAAATGAAAATTCCAGCCAAATTATTAAAATGGTAGAAATTTAAGTTTCTGGCATGTTTCTTTTTTAATCTTGTTTTTGCTTTATTCAAATTTACATGGTCTCATCTTTTTACAGTTGAAATGTCTAGATGTAAGTTCTATGCTGACAGTTTCTTCTCTCACTCTTTTTGAGTATAGAAGTCCCTCCCTGCTTTCTGCTTTTTCAGTAAACTTTGAATTTAAATTTCTGAAGATCAATGTCAATAGTTACCTACTGTCTTCTTAATTTTTGTTCTTTTATTGCTCTCTCTCCTTGAGTGTTTTTCTCATAACACTCTAACTTGTGTCTTAGTTGTTTTACTGCCTTGCTTGGGGTGAAATGATTAAAAAAAATGATAAGTGGAAAAGCTGTTTAGCTACATATCTCTTTATAGTAGGCATCCTCAGGCTTGAATGGGAGACAAACCTGTGTTTGAGTAAAGGGTATTGGAATATATGGAAGAGCTAATAAAGATGCTTATCATTTCACATAGGAGATAAGGAAATTGACCATAGACAGTGCTAAGGGCAGTTTTTCCTAACCTTGTAAACGGATACAAAATCAAAACATTAACCTAAAATCTCAAATCCTGTTTATAAATAACCTTGTCAGATTGAGACTTTCATATGGACGTTATGTCTGTTGCCAAACTTGTCTAAATTGCCAGCTGTATACAACCACTTTCTCAATGGTTAAAAATGGTTTCAAGCAAATGAAGCCTGTGGGTCATAGTAAGGACCTATCCTTCAAACCTCATGGACTGGCACTACAGAATCACAAAGATCTATATCAAATAACAGACACCACATCACTTCAGGACTTTCAACAGCAGCAACAACTAAAATGGATATCACCTCGAAGAGAAAATAATGACATAATCAAGATGTTGATGTTTCACACTACTTTGGGCAAAAGGTTAGGAAGGAACCCTCCACTCCAATCATTAATAGAAATCACAATAACTGATACTGAACTGAATTTCTGGGATGAGGATTTATCATTATTTACACTATTTATGTTGTGGACTAATGCCTTCATCTTTGTTGTTGTCATCACCATGTTTCAACTGTTGTGTTCTCCAGTCTTCCTCAGGTGCATATCAAGCTGGCTATCCTACAGGGAATTAATTTCTGGGATATGGAGGTGTCATTACTTACACTATTTACATTTGGACTATTGTCCTCATCTTTGTTGTTGTTGTCATAACACTTCAACTGTTGTGCTTTCCAGCCTTCATCAGGTGTGTATCAGTCCAGGTAACCTAGAGGAAATTCTGAAATTAACCCTTTATTTAATTTATGTAGCTACAGGACAATAGCCTAGTGGATTAAAGCATTGGTTTGTGAATTTAGTGTCATAGTAATTGTGAGTTCAATCTCTGGGCTGGGCAGTGTGTACTTGGACTCACTGGAAACAGGACAAGCAATAACTGGGTGGTACTAAAAATAAGAACTAGTTGAGATATCCCTAGACATGGGCAATGGAACAAGAACAGTCTACCCCTGTAGATTAAATAAAGGGTTCATTTTCAAATTTCCTGTAGGTTACCAGGACTGATACACACCTGATGAAGGCTGGAGGTCATTATGGTCGAAACGTGATAGCAAAAACAAAGGAGAGGACAATAGTCATCATGTAAATAGTGTAAACACAGTTACTGGATTTGAGAAACCTATTTTCCTGAAAAATAGTTTTAAAAGAAAGATTTTATAAGTATCAACCAAAAGTGACACTGCATGGTTGGTCAATGAATGCTGACTGTTTCCTTATAAGGCAGGGATTTTCAACTGGTGTGTCATTAAATACTGGTGTACTTCAAGAGGATCATGGGTGTGCCATGAAAATTTTTAAAGGTCATTAATTATTTTCAAAATAAATCTAATGCACAGTAAGTTTGTGAAACAAGCTGTACTGCAATAAACAATATTAAAAAAAAAAAAAAATCGATTACAGCTAGAATCCTTGAAAGAAGAGTTAAGAGTGTGCCTGTCCAAAATTCTGCCTTGAAAAGATATTCTAAAAAAAAAAATGTCAAGCTCAGATATCTCAGTATCTGTCTATATTTCTGAGATGAGGTATTATGTACACTATTTATATTATTTGGACTATTGTCCTCATCATTGTTGCCATATTTATTACAACGTTTTGGCCATTGTATGCTTCGGCTTTCTTCAGGTGGTTGGAATATCGAATTGAATCCTTTATTTCGCTCACTGGGGTAAACTGTTCTAGTTCCACGTGCCATGTTTTAATGGATGTCAGTTATCAGTTATCTCCTGTTAATACCCCTCTCTAAGTTCTCCACTGCACTGGACACATGGCACAGTGGATAAAGGCATTGGTTAGATCCAGTGACAGGACCCAAAGAGTGTGAGTTCAATACCTGGTTAAGGCAGTGGAGAACTTGGAGAGGGGAATTAGTAGGAGATAACTGACATCCATTAAAACATGGCATGGGGGAACTAGCTAGAACAGTCTGCCCCAGTGTGCGAAATAAAGGGTTCAGTTCAACATTCCAACTACCTGAAGAAGGCTGGGGTGTACAACGGCTGAAACGTTGTAATAAATATGGTGACAAAGATGAGGACAATAGTCCAAATAATGTAAATAGTGCTCAGATATCACATTAAATGTTGCATTATAATAGCTAGAAAGATAAAATTAATATAAGGTTTTTAAAATTTTAATTAATTTTTATTAAAAATTATAATAAGTTGTTTTGTTTGCATTAATAAATAAATTAAAACTTTTTTTTTTATACATCATAATTGTGCCATGAAAGTTTAAGACTAGGTTCAAATCTGCCTTGAGATAAAAAAAAAAGGTTGAAAAAGGAAATAGCTAAATATTAACATTACCTTCAAAGGTTTACTTTTCTCTTAGTTTGTTTACCACATTATGAGATCAGTGCACTTTCAATGCATTTCTTCTTAGTAAATTATTTTCTCTGGCATTTTTTTTTAAATTGAAATTTTGTGAAATTCACTGACATTGGCAAAGGTATTTCGGTATTTGATGACATCAGCCATAAAATGTTTTCCTAAAATAAACCAAGGCACTCTTCTCAATATCTTTCTGGTTGAAGATGCTACAAAGATAGAATCTGACTTCAAATTCTTGGTACATTTTAGAAACCAATAAGACTTTGATGCCAGGAAATATGATAATTAACATTCATCACTTGCTGAGTTTCATTGCATGCAAAATATTATACACAAATAATTGATATTTATTGGTCCAACACTTAATTTGGACAGAATGAGTAGTAGAAATTCTTGGGTATGTTTCTGGTTTATTTTCAAAGTTGAATGAAAGAGACAAGTTACAAAAATAATTAGTCAAAATCTGATATGAACAAAAGTAAAATTTTGTTTCTTTACTTAACTCTCTTTCCTCACAAACTTTTTCATATTTTCAGTGTGCAAAATCATGCAGGCATTATCTGTGTGTACACATATGTACAGGCATTAAAACGTGTGTGTGTTTGTGGGCACACAAGCTTTTTCTGTGTGCATGTTGGGATGCACGTAGGATTTTTCTGTGTGTTGGTGGTCATGGTAAGCAGGCTTTATTTGTATGCATGAGTGTGTGCAGGCACACAAGCTTTGTGTGTGTGCATGCACAGGCAGGCACCCAGGTTTTATGATTGTGAGGGCTTAAAGGTTTTATCAGTGTATGCCTGTTGGAGTGGTATGCCAGATTTATCAGGTTGTCTGCAGATGTATGTATTTCTGTGTCTACAAAAGTTTTATCTGTGTGCATGCATGGCAAGCATTATCAGTGTGTGAGTGTGTATACAAAGTCACTTTGGAAAGTGTCTATTCATTTAGTTTTAATGAAAAAATAGCCTACCTAGGGCAGTGGTGTCTTAGTCCTCTTCAAGTTACTTCTCTTGGGACCTCACATATTTATTTCCATGTCTCTTATTTTTTTCCTTAATCTCTTTTATTTTTTTTCCTTAATCTCTTTTATTTTTTTTCCTTAATCTCTTTTATTTTTTTTCCTTAATCTCTTTTATTTTTTTTCCTTAATCTCTTTTATTTTTTAATTAGTATCACCCCAAGCAAGGCTGTACAGTCTCTAGCATGCAAGGGATTACAGGGTGTGGAGGAATTTGGAACAAAAATCATTAGGAATGAGGAGAAAGAGAAAAGAGCAATCAGGAAGACAGATTTTTTGCAGATTAATGTTGGCTGGAAAGCCTGGAGCCGGAGGGAGTTCCACAAGCAAGAAGTGTGAGATAAAAAAACTGTTAGCATAGAAGTTACGACCACATCTGGAGCAGCTCAACTGTAAACTGATGAGATCTTGCCACCAGTCTAGTATTGCGCTTAAATTCATAGAGTCTAGGTACCATTGGTTTGTTCAATTACAAGCCAAAATACCTAAGGTTTTTCCAAAACGAGCATTTAATTTATTTATATTATATATATATATATATATATATATATATATATATATATATATATATATATATAATAAAAGAAAAAGAACAGTAAGAAATATAATCTGATGTTCTTATTAATATTTCTCTTTTTACAAAACGGTGCTCAATGCAAATTTACAGAGCATAAATATTATCAATTAACTGATTTAAAAATATGGCTCCATCGCTATACAGGAATTACCATGTTTAAGTCTAGGTAGGGCAGGGGTGCCTTTTTCAACGAATTATGACATCAGTTCAACGCATATCTTGTCTGGTTTTTATCAACGACAAAAAGTTTTTCAGCATTTTTTTCCCTTTAAACTTGTATTTGTATACATAAA